AGTTTCCAGTCAGTCCATTCTCCCCTTTAATGAGCTTTCTCAGAAAATCATCCTTGGGAAGTCCACTATTTATCAAAAACCCACGCTCGGTGTGTAAGGGATGGAGGAGGGGAGTGTACAGAAAGATGCAGAACACAGTAGTTAACTGTGTGCCAGGCTCTATGACAAGCCTTTGGCACACACAGTCTAAGTCACCCTTACCACAATCTTATAAGGAGGGCATTATTTTTCCCATTTTACTGATGAAGAAACTGAGGCTCAGCATGTTTAAGACAATTTGCACACATGGCTAAAATATGACAAGAGTCAGTACTTGAATGCAGGTCCAACTTGAAAGACTAGGCTCCAGCAGCACACTGTCTCGATGTGGCGGGGGCTGGGGTGGGCTGCAGGGGATGGAGAATGAGATTTATTTCTGCATATGTGGAGGCTGAGGAGGCTGTGGAGAGATGCGTTCATATTCAGGGCCTGGGAAGTCTGGGTTCCCAGTCTGGTGCTGCTTTAAACAATTTGCCTGACCTCAGACAAGTCACCGTACTTTTCCAAGCTCTGGGTTCTAGGTTTCTCTGTCATATAGATGAACACTGAAGTCTAAAATCTGGAAGAACTGTTAAGTCCCTTCCATCCAAACAAGAAGCTACTCATAAAAGTATGAGTGAAATACTGCAGAAACTGGAGCATCCCTGATCATAGTTGCTTCAGTGAGAGAGGTGGTCATTGCAAAAATAAAGTAGGTAGAAGAGAGGAGCCATTCAGCACTTGTTCCTAACTCTTGTTGAGAGCCTTCCCAACAGCCCTGCCCCTTGCCCTCTGTCAGATTAGGGCTCGAGGTTCCTAGCACATAAGACCAAAGTGAATTCTACAGTGGGTTTGACGAGAAAGTGTTAAGAGTAGATGCAAGTCTTGCAGCGTCTTAATCAGAAGGTCTTCTTGTCTATAAATGTGAACTACAGGACCTTAGGAGTTCATATCAACCCCAGGTGACACTGTGGTAAAGGAAAGGAGTGATGATTACGTAGAGTCACAAGAGAAACATGGAATTAGAAACTGTCCCTCACTGTTTCAGGTTAAGCAGTAAGATACAGCAAAGGTTCAGACATTTAAGAGATGCAATGAGAAATGCTCCCACCTTTCTCTTTAAAGCCCTGATCAATAATACAAAACAGGAGCATGAACATGAGGTAGCTATAAACAGGCACCATTTGACAATCAAGCGTAATTTTGCACACAGATTACAAGTTCAAACAATTACCGCCAGAAAGTACTTCTATATTTCTGATTCACTTACCAAATAGCTAAAATGTATATCACAGAAAGAAATCTTAAAAAGTTTAATGGGAGAGGGGGTATATCTCAGTGGTAGAGTGTATGGTTAGCATGCATGAGGTTCTGGGTTCAATTTCCAGTACCTCCATCAAAACAAACAAAACAAAACAAAAAAAACAAAAACAACCCCAAGGAGTCCAATTTTAACCTATTTGGCTTAATAAATCCTTAAAAAAAAAAAAGCTCAATGAACTGGAAACAAACAAGCAAATCTGCCATATAAAATTAATTGTGACATTTATAAAAGAACCCCAAGCACTTGAAATAAAAGGTGACAAAGCTGGGTTGAATTATATATTTGTACAGTTATCAAATTCTAAAACAAAAAATTACAAAGTGCCTTTGATGACTGGAGTCCACATACCTATGGGACTCTCTGGAAGCCAATGGTAAGTTCTCCTACCATGTGGCTTGTTCTGATTCTAAAAAGTGCCAAGGGCGTGAGATACTTCAGCATCCAGACTCATATTAAAGGGTGTAGCAAGGAAACTCAGGGGGCTGTGTTGTCTCAAAGTTAGTATATTCTACAAGGAAAGGAAAATGTATTTTTAAAACTGGATCTAGCTAAAGCTTCAACAAAACCAAGGCAAATTACCATCTTTATGGTCTGTTTTCTAATAAAGGAGATAGAGAGACATGTGGAAACGCTCCATTTAAAAGACACAAAACCAGGAAACATCTACAATTGGAACCAAGTGCTTGGATGAAACCTTGGTTCAGTAAGTGAGCTAACATGGCTCCCTTTCTTAAATGTGTGCAGTATTTACTCCCAGCACTATTCACCTGCAAGAATGTTACCTGCCCAGATAATAAGTTCCTCCGTGTCTCGAGGAATCCCTTGTCTTGGGGTCTGACCCACCTGATAGGTGCTTAACTGATGACAAAGATATGAATGGAGCTCTTTCCATAAACTAGTAGGAAACACCTACCAGCAATGTCCTCTTTCCTTCAAATCAGTGATCCACAATCTTTGGGCATTTCAAACATTTACAGAGTAACCACCATGCTCGGGGAAAGATGATTTCAAGTTACAAAGCAAAATCAGACAGATTAGTTGAAACATAATTTGAGGGTAAATGGCCTATTACTAAAATGCATGAAAATGGCAAGTGGTTTTAAGTTACTTTTCTTAACAATTGTCAAAAGAAGCATTAGGCTTCCAAAAAAAAAAAAAGAACAAGAAGTTATGAAAGATGGATTTGGAAATAAAAAATAACTTAGTTGAGGGCGACAATGCTTTTTACCTTATTTCTTTTTTCAAGAAAAAATGATTAATTCAGCCCAATTCCAATGGAGGTAAAACTTGAGGTTTTATTTTATTTAAAAATTATGCTTAAGTTATAAAAGAAAAATTAAAACCACAAGCATCCAGGAAGCTGATGGATACTAATGTATCCAAAAGTCAATCTAATGGAAAACTTTAGTTCACAGTAAACACAAGTTGCATCCATACCATAAGCCCAGGAGGATGCCTGACATACCAGTCACAGACAATACGTATTTGTTGAATTAATGAATAGATGAATATATTTAAATGTCATGCTATTATTTCTTTCTCCTTTTTTTATTAAACTGAACTGCTAACCCTTATATATTTTTCTACAAATACCATCTAAAAAAGAAGTGGCCTGCATTAGAAACCACTTATAATTTTACAACTTATGATCGCTATTCAATATATCAAGAAGGTGAGAGAACTTAGAATTCTCCAGTGAAGTCTAAGGAATTTTTTCCTTACAATTTAAAATTGTAGACTATATAAGAGTATCTTAACAGCATATGGCCAAGTTTATGTGATCATCTGAGGAGAATAATTCAGTTTCATAAAAAATGCAAATCTAACAGTAGTGCATTAATTCCCACCAACTCTGCTCTCAAGACAGCCACCGGGGACTTCCCCCGCGATCAACATGCATACATCTATTTAACTTCTATCACTGGCTCACTAAGTAAATATCACACTATAGACCACTTAGGTATTCATTATTCACAGGCAAAGAGCAAACGTAAAAGCGGGCTGGTAGTGTCAAGTCGTTAACGAATCAATCGATAACTGGCCCCCGTTTCAGTCTGCCAACGGAGGGCAAAGATGTGCAACATCTGGAGAGCAGACTGTCCATCGGCTGCCAAGGAGCAGCCTATTTACAGTGGAGGGTTCCTTGTTGATGCTGCCTCTCAAGGAAACCTGAAGCTCTATGAAGTCTTCTCAGGCTTTAATAAGCATGAAACAGATCCTCTCTTGGATACTATTCCTTAGCTACCCAGAGGCCTGAGACCCCCCAGGACCACAGTGGGAAATGCTACTCTGTGAGCTCCCCAAAGTGACTGAGATGGAGACAGAACTAAGGAACATTCCAGCCCATAACATGAAAAGGAGCAAGTGGTTTAAACCTCAAAGTTCCCATGTCTCTTGCTTTCAAAGCAAGATTTTTCAGACATCACCAGTATTCTCAAGAAGCTAATCCCCTAAAGTGACCAAAAATGGTTCTCGTTTTGCAAAAATGAAAAAACAACAACAAAAAAACCCCACTTTCTTTAGGTGTGAGCTCTGTTAAATGTCCCCCTCCGTGGTGTGGAGCCCGAGAGAACGTGACCCTCTGTACTTCAACTTCAGGATGACTGACGCTCCTGTCCGGCTCACATCAGAGAGCCAGGACCCTGCACTGTATCTGAGATCACTTGCCCAGCATTTCCGCTAAGAGACAGTGAAAACGAAATAAGAAGGAGGTCTGGTCACTGGAATAAAGTTGAGCTTCAGAGCCGCTTCCTCAATTTACACCACGTGACAAAAGCTCACAGCTACAACGCATCAGCAATGGCAGCAACAGGGTTCCAGAAGCACTGCTCATTTTTTCTCACTCATTCAAAAGCCAGCAACAAGGTTCAACCCAAAGCCATATAAACGTTCCTCTTAATTTTAATTATGAGAATTGAAGGCACAATCAGGTGGTGATAGAGCCTTCCCGGTAACAGGAAGAAGGGAAAAAAAGGACCCTGTCTCACCTCTCACTCATCTGTGCAACCTGATCTACAGGGAGCACTTGACTATTTGTTGTCATTTGTAAAAGTTAACATCGGCACACACGCACATCCCTGCTGGAAGCAAGTCGTGCTGGGTTTTCAGTGAAACTGCCCTGTGTTTACTTACCCTCCTGTCTTATTTCCTGGGTAAAAGGTATAATTAATACTTTACCCTAGAAACAACCCACACAAGAAATAGCTTTATGGGGAGTACAAGTCACAACAGCAAGCTGCTCTTTCTGGGAATGGCTGTTTTCTTACTGCACTTCCCTTCTCTTCCGTGGAAATCTCAGTCCCCTCCCTTCTGTCCCAAAGATGAATGTGGAGTCCAGAAAATGATCCGCAAAGAACAAGTTGAGAATTGGAAAACATCCTCTTGTTCCCATTTCCTCTTCTCATTTAAGATGCTCAGGACACACCTTCACTCAGAGCACAAATTAAAGCAGGCCCTCATCACCAGAGCTGCTATGTCACGCCCATTACTTTTTTTTTTTTTCTGTTTATCAGGTTGACAGCTAAAGGCACACACTGCCAGGATGTTAGAAACCAGTTGCAACACAGCGCGGTCTGCCCCCCCGCTCCCATCCCTGCCTGCCCTGCTAGCGAGAGAAACCGCACCCACTTCCCATAGCCGGCCTCTTCCCAGGTCTTACCCTGCCCAAGAGGTTGTCCTGAAGCAGAGTCTCTTGCAGCACCGGGGCCACCTCCTCCAAGCTCAACATGTGGCAAAGGTCGGTGAGTTCCTCCTGTCCCAGGGACCCGGTGCCTGTGGTGTCAAAACTGTCAAACAGCTCCTTGAGTCGGGCCTCATGCTGGTCCTGCTCCGCCTCATCCATCCCATAGCCCACAGCGTTCACCTGTGCAGGACAGAGACAAGGTCGCATGGTGGCAGCCGCTGGAGTCCGACCACCACCCCCCAGCACGCTGCCTCCACCCCTGCCGGCCACTTGGGAATGCTCTTATGTCCTGGTCCATCGGGACCACGCGAGGGTCAGCAGGAGAGGTAACACTGCACACCTCCCAGCGAAACCACAGGTCCCTCCAGGACCCAGCGCCAGCCAGCGGAGCTCCGGCACGGCGCCCACACCGGGAGCACATCCACAAGATCCGGCCCCAGTGGGGTGACCAGAATGAGGGAGTCTCCCACGCAGAAGGGCGCCCTCCTCTCCTGCCCGGCCCTCAGGCTGGTAGCCAGTCTGTCAAAATCAAGACTGAAAGCAATTTTCTTTCTACCAGCCTATGTGGTCCAGGACTCACAGAAGGTGAAAAGCCACTTCTGACATCCAGTCCTTTCAAATAAACTGTTAGCTACAGTAGACTGCAGGACCGGAGCTTCCACGCAAGTCAGCGAGCTCCAGAAGACCTGCCAGGTGCTGCAGTCCGCCGCACTGCTTCCTTTCTCTTTCTCAGCCTGGATGCCCCCCTTGTAGTCAGACCACCGGTTACAGCAGAGGCACTGGATGAACACGTCTGATACAAACCCACCTTCCTGTTTACAGGAGGCCAAATGCCTCTTACTCGAGTTCCTCAAAAAGCAATGCAATTAACCTCATCCGTGCAATTACATGAGGTGTGACAGGAAGAGTATTCCCTGAAGCTCGCATTAGCCCCAGGGAGTTTTAGGTAATGCTTGGTTGCCTCGAGAAAGAGGAAAATACTACTCCAGCTTTTCAGACAGTGAGGTTCTAAGGAGCCACAGACCACACGTGAATCACATGGATTCTCAGGACCCTCCACTATCTCCACCATCTCATCTCTGCACTCCTGGTTAATTGGTCTTCCATCTCTCTGACCCACCCCAACCCCAGGCTCTCCATTTTTCCACATTTCATGGGATCCATAAAAACATGGAGTCATCAAAATAACTTTTTTTGCTAAAAATAATTTTCATTAAATATATAGATATCATAAAAATCTATGTTCCTCATACTTGAAGATTACAATCTGGTTTTTTGCGTGCACAATAATTCACTTTTTTGTGTGTTTTTGTTTTTTATTAACAGAGGTACTGGGCATTGAACCCAGGATCTCGTACTTGCAAAGCACGCATTCTACCACTGAACTATACCCTCCCCCCATAATTCATTTTTAATGTGTTGTGTTTTCCAGTGAAAGCCTAAAATCTTCACATCTGATGGTACCTTCACCATGACGCAATGGAAGCCAAACACGACATACACCCTCGAGAGGGTGAGCTCAGCCATCTGAAACGAGGCTCTGAGAGCTAGCCCCTTGACTATAAAAAGCTGTACCTTTAAAAAGATATTTATCTTGCCAGTATAATTTTTTATTGTGATTAAAAACACATAACATGAAATCCACCCTCTCAACATTTGAAGTGTGCAGTACTGTACTGTTCACTCTACGGGCATTGTTGTACAGCAGATCTCTAGAGCTGCTCCATCTTGCCTGACTGAAACACTATACCCACTGCCCAGCAACTCCCCCATTTCCCCCCACCCCCAGTCCCTGGCAACCACCATTCTATGTTTAAAAGCACACCTTAACTAAACCAAACTCTGGATCAGAAAACTAGCTCGGAGGTGATGTCACAGGGCAGATCATTACAAACGGGAAATGTACATGTTAGGATGTTGAACACAGTCAGATCTGAAAATAAACGAGCCTTCAGTAACATAGCAGTGCTGCTCTAAGCTGGGCTGCTTTCTTTCCATGGACAACTGTTCAAAACACAACAAGCTATGAAACAAAGCCAACAACCATCCCAGGGGTTTCAGCAGAACGAGGCAGACTCAGAAGATGGATCTAAACAGCTGGGCCACTCATTAAGGAGAAGTTGTAATATTCTGGTCCAGGCTCCTGGTCTCAAAGGTCTCTTCTCCTAATTATCAGTTTTTCTATTAAGGTGCTGCTGGCTCTGGCTGCCTTCCCAGGATTGGTCTGTTGGATTAACTAATCACCATATAAATGTTTACAAAATAACTTGAGAGAGTGCTACATAAACATCAAAACACAAGAAAAGAAAAACCAAGGTGTTAAGCAAAGCAACAAAAGTGAGGAATTTAGACAAGGCCGTGGCTTGGCTAATGAGATTCATGCAGAGTCTGCCCAATTAATTCCCAACCAAGGTCAGCTGAGAATCCCCAAGAAAGAAGCTCTCGGACTCACTCTCTCAGTTCTACAGTCCTGACCAATTTCATAAAAGCTAGACTATTCTGCTTCTGCTTGATTTTGTATATTAAAAAAAAAACTTGAAAGTGAAAGAATTCTAACACTTCCCCTTTCAAAAATTATTTTTAAGGGGTGGGGATTTGCCCATCTAAACCAATGAAAGATGGCCAGAGAACCCACAATGGTAACGTGTATCTGTTAATCCCATCCTCCTAATTTACCCTTTTCCTGTTCTCCTTTGGTAACCATAAATTTGTTTTCTATGTCTGTGAGTCTGTTTCTGTTTTGTAAATAAGTTGATCTGTACTTCAATATTTTTTAAAAAAAGAAAGAAAGGAAAGAAACAAAAAAACTCACGGTATACTGAGAAGTCCTGATCTTATCCAAGGCTTTGAATCTGATAAGCTATCACGCCCTGTTCTTTGAGAGGCACTGGCTTTTCACTAAATCAAACCTCTTTCATTTTACAGCAACTTTCCTTTTTTCTCTCTTTATTTCATCTCCTTCCTTCCCAAGAACTGTGCTTTGTAAAATATCCTTTCGACTGAAGGGGGAAAACAGTCCCACCCTTGCAGAACAAATGGTCGTATGGAAACATCCAAAAGATGTTACATATGGTGACAAGTTGTCAGTACTCTTCTGGCACAGAATGCATCTTTACTGGTTGATATTATTCTCCAAATGTTCATCAGTAATTTCATGTGCAAGAATTCTTTTTCTCCCTATGTGGCAGAAATTTCTTTAAAGGCAGGGTCCATAATTTCTGTCATATAACTTCCCCCAAATGCACTGTCTGTTCTTTACACCAGGGACTCAGCAAACATCGCGGACTGACTTAGTGTATGGAGGTTCCCTGAGAGGAAACTTATCTTGAATAAAAGCTATGGAAACGAGCATATGAAGGCTTTGAAATGCCTATTTCTTCCATAAGCATACCTTTTTTTGCCAAGTCCACTCCCTTTTCAAAGGCATTTCCAGTCTTAGACATGACCAAGCATAAGCAGAAAGCCAGCACCCACTGCCAAACTGCACCATGTAGAGCTGCCTCAAGCTTGATTCGATGAGGTAGTAATTAAGCCAATGGATTCACAAACTTCAGCTGCACTTTTGTTGTTGTTATTACGGGATATGACTGTGGAGGAGAATCTGCACTAAAATGCTTTCCCATGTCCCTCTGTTTACAGGATGAGAATAATAATACCCATCTGGAGGGTTGTTCTGAGGGTTAAATATGGTGGCAAGAGCAGCTAATCCCAGAGAAAGCTGGCACAAGAGGGGAAGTGAGAAAACCAAGAAAATACCTGTGACTTACAAAGGAAAAGTAAACTGAAGAGGGGTAACTTGAATACAAGTCAGCTGGCCACAGATCTGCCTTCAAAAAAGCAAAACAGGAGCTGTAGAACATCATAATGCAGAAAGCAAGACTGAGCAGGGGCCACATTACACATAAAAGTAATATTATATTTGTTACTAAGTGGAAATAGCAGCAGGTGATGTTCAGGCCTTCCCTGATCTTCAAAGGCAGATTGCTGATCAATTTGACGGCAAACAAAAGCAATGGCTGAAATACAGTTGAGAATTCAGAAGAAACTTTTTTTTTTAACTTCTGAGCATTTATTGTAAGTCTGGCCTATGCTGAGTACTTAACATAAATGATCTCATTCAGCCCTCCTAATTCTTTAAAGTAGGTATCACATTCTCATTTCGGATGTAGAAATTGGGGCTTGGCAAAATTAAGCTACTTGTCCGATGATACAGCGCTAATAATGGTGGTGGAGCTGGCATCTGAGCTCTGGTTTGACACTAAATTATACTTTCTCTCACTCTTGCACATGCACATAGAACACATGAATGGGGCCACTGGAATGGTATCAATGGCAAGTCACTTACCTCCACTTTTATGTGGTAACCAGCTGAACAGTACCAAGCACTAGAAACCACCATGGAATACTTGGAGGCCACAAACTCCTCCAGAATGGAAGGAGGGGTGGGGTTCCTTCCTCCCTATCTCCCTTGATTCATTTATTGATAATTATAGCCTACTGGGCACTAGAGATGCACAGAATAGGCACTCTCTTTTTTCCTAAAGCAGCTTTGGGGTTTAGGGCAAAGACAAAATAGATTTTAATACAAAAATGATCACGAGGAGTCCCATGTCTTCAATAATGGGCACAGTCCAGAAGTTGATAATTGTTCAAATACTTCCCCCCAAACACTTAGATATGTCTAATCTATGCAATGCAGTGCTGTCCACAGTCAGAGCCCAGCTGACCCTCACCAGCAGCAGGAATCTTACTTCCACATGAAGGAAGTTGGGTTCTGAGTGATTAAATTGTCCTTCAAATTGCCAAGGACAAGTCCAGCTTTATAAAACCTGCCACAAACCTGGGCCTCTCGTCACCATCTACTTCTCCAATTAAATTGTCAGAAGCTTTTACAACTCCTTTGGAATAAACAGGCCAGCATTGGCAATATTTTGGAGTTCCAGCAAGGGATGGTTAACTAAGAGGCAGATGCACAGAGCCATTAATCAAAACATTCACTATCGAACCACCACCCACAATGAGAACTATTCAGAGCATCTTCCTTCCAAATAACTCAGAACAAGGGTGCCAGAACGTGCAGGCCCTGGCAGGGATGTCCGCTAGAGACCGGCATCACTGTGCTCCCCTTGGCAACCCCAGCTGATGGAATCACAGTGCCAGCCGGGACTGGACAAGAAGGAGGTGGAGGTGCGGCCGGAATAATGAAGTCCCCAACATAAGGCCAGCATGAAGTGGATCTGTGAACTTGTGAACTTTCCAGGGACCAAGGTATAGAAAGGAGCCTGTAAGAATGGCAGACCAGCCAAAGGGGATGCCTGCTCTGGGCCAGAGGGAGTGAAAAGGGGACAAAGTCTGGCAAGGCAAAACCAAATAATAAAGGAGCACAAAGCCAGCGCTGCGAGCCCAGGCCTTTGAGTTCCCCTCCAGATGGTCCAGCAGCTGAACAGCTATAAGGAATGTCTGGATGCCCCTCTTGGCTCAGCCCCTTGCCCTGGGTATTATAATAGATGCTTTTGGATCTGTGTTCAGACAGAGCTGCTGGGGGTCCACAGTCCAGGCAATGACCAGCAAGTGACTAATTTAGTTCCTTTCTAACTAAAGCAATGAACGTGGACAAACTCTACTTTGGCAAAGGTTTTCATTCATGCCTTTAGCTTTCACTGTCCGGCAAGTCTCATAATGCCGATGGTCAAAATATAATGTTTCTTTTTCTCCTCTCTTTTCTGCAAGCACTTTAATTTGCTGCAAAGACGTCCAGGCTTACCATTTTGGACTAATTTCAGCATAAAATGAAATAGTGACAAGAATCAATTCAAGTTTAGCAAAAGCTTAATAGAAAAAGCAACTGTCAAAAAAATTAAAAAAGAAAAAAGAAAAAGCAACTGTCCCCATTTATGTGTCAATATAGAATATTTCTGCCCAAAACTGCTGCTCGTCAAACTGATTACTGTCAGACAGCACCTCACTTCTAGCTGGATACTTAAAGCACAAAAGTATCAGCAAGAATAAAATCAGAGTAGAAAAATCTAACACAAAAGCTTAAATAAATTAAAAAAAACATTAAAAAACACCACACATAAAAAAACACATTAAATTTGAATGAAATAACAATCTTTGCTAATTCCCATATAAAACTGAATTTAACTAAGGGTATTCTACTAGCATGTATTCTAAAACATAAATAAGCAGGAATATTTTACTAGCCTGAATGATGTAGCAAACCCAAGCTTTTGTTAAACCTAACAGCTAGGTGGGTTACCCAATCAAGCTGTTAACTCACGATACCTGGAGGAATAAAACCATTAGCCCAGCATAAGGCAGAGTCAGTAACCTGTGATCAGCTGAAGCTGAAATCTGAGCTGTATGTTTGTTACTTTCTTAAAAGAGACAGCTTA